GGGGGGGGGGGGGGGGAGTTAGAGGTTATACTTGAAACGTCGAAGTACCAGCTTAAAAATGCAGATATCCCTGTATAGATAACTTTGTTCAATCTAACCAATTCAGATTTTCAATGGAGAATATATACCATGTGGTGTCACATGTTGAAGATTATAAAGATTTTGTGCCATGGTGCAGAGACTCGACAGTACACGAACGAAAAGATGGACATGTCAAGTGCAAATTAGTCATTGGATTTCCACCACTTGTTGAACGATATATTTCCGTTTTGACACTTGTGCCGCCTAACCTAGTTGTGGTGAGTATAAATTGAATATTCGTTTAATTTTCTTTTTTTCAGAGGTAAAAAATGTTTCAGAAATATCGTACAAGGTCGTACGTTCTGCAATTAATGCCCGTTTTCCGCTATGGGCGAACTTGTTCACGCGAAGCGACTTTTTTCTTTGTCTGCATCGCTTCTGGTGGCGTGATAAGCGATGCTGACAAGGGAAAAAGTCGCTTCGCGTGAACAAATTTGCCTGTTGAAAAACGGGCTTAAAACGTTCTTCTCCACTCATCGCAAGAGTGAACTCGCAAGCTCATTGCGAGTAGCCGAGTACTTTCATTCAATCACAATACTCGACAGCTTATTTTAATTACTATAGATGCAAACACTTGCGATGAGTGGAAAAGAGCCTTAAGGTGGTCTTCCACCCTGATTTCATTTATGGCTAAAACAGCAGCAAATCAATCACCAGTATACTTTGACTGGAGAGGGCCTGATAAAGTGAGCACAACAACATACTTTTTGAGCCATATGTTGCCATGGTAACCAAGATAATGACCCCCAACTGTGATTTTAGTCGCCATTTTTTAAAAAGGATACAGAACCAAAGAAGGGCTAAAAAAACAAATAACTCTTATTCCTATATTCAGAAAAGGCACATCTAGGGGATGAACCTAAAAAACCTGGTAGCATTTGTTTTTTTCACCAAAAAAATAGGGCAAATCCATTTTTACAGCACAGCGAGGTGCTTGAAATCCTGTTGTTTAACGATCTATTCACAAGATACATAATATTTTAGGTTCAGGAACAAGAAAGGATATCTATATTACCACATAGAAAATTTCAGGTCATTTCGTTAAATTGTTTTTGAATTATCCTTTTTAAAAGATTTCCGGATGACCGAAAATGCTATTTTGAGAAAACGACCGTTTAAGATAGCCTACAACATACATTGAATACAAATCACTAAATATACAAGATTAAAACATTACTAAAGTGAGTATATCTACTTTCAGTCAAAATGCACTCACAGGCTATGTTTCTCCCTCTTCAGCTTTATCTTTGCCCCCTTTTTTCTTCTCCCCCCCCCCCTCCCTTCGAAGAATCTTCATAAAACTCAGAATACCGTAGCTTGTTCGTTTCTACAGAGCGATTGGAAATTCTTGCAGCATTTAATTAGACTTGCATTTTGGCAGATGATCTGCCTTTACAGCTGCTGTTTTCAATGTCTTTGGATGTGTGACACATTTTGCTGAGCGTCTCTGTGTCCAAAACTTTCCCGGTATCCATGGAAACTGTCGCGATACATTTAGGGACTAAAACCCTCTCCTTTGCCACTGCGCAATCAACAACTTCATTTGATGTCTTTTGTTTTATGTCATGAATTTCTTTGGCAGCATCTTCTATTGTTTTCTCACACACAGTATGGCACTTTCAAGTAGAGCTTTGTTGTACAAGGAATAGGAAGGGGTCTTTGTGGTGGTGGCATGTTCAGCAGCCGGTACAGCCCACAGAACCGTTTAGCTCCAGCACGTTAGCAACCGATAAATCTCATGGCATAAACCATCTGTCTGTTTATTTCATAGCAGGTTTATTCTATTTCGAAGTATAGAATTTATTTTCCCATTTACACGAAGAACACCTCAAATTATTAAAGATAGGACCACCACATTCCATCCGGTTGTCATTATCCTCAAGAAATTCAAGGCTAAATTTTTGACAATTTGAACACAGTAGAAGCTCGAATATGTCTTTTAAAATTTCCATATTGACTAAACTAAAACCAGACACACTCTCCTTTATGGATTCTTTATGTTCGGTCGAAATCCTAGCAGAAATCTTTCGAGCGGAAGCAGAAGTATCTCATCTCACCTTGATCAGAAATTCTAAGCTTTTAGCATATTCTAAGCATATTTTGAAACTGATTGCCAGACAATTTACGCTTTTTCGCATACCCAGATTATTTCTTATTCCCCATCGTTACATAATGAGAATAACTTTGATAAAAGAACAACTTTAGTTGCTTTGTAGACCATGTATAGTTGTGAATTTCCAGTCTGCATTCTATATTTTCCCCCCGCCACATATTTCCGCCAGCATTTTCTGCGAAAAAAAATTTCCCGCCAGAAGCTGAAAAAAACTCGACATTATCGGCCTTACACCTTCCGCCAACCGCTATCTACTGATGGAATAACAATCAGACTAAAAACCTTTGTTTTAAAGATGATACGAATGAGTCAGTCAGAGTCAGGCATGACAGACAATCAATCTTGGCTTGTGAATTTATAAACAAGTTATTCACTGTATTATACATGGAAGTGCAACAATACTGAATATATAAATTGCAGTTATTGCTTTAATAAAACGTTAACTGCATAATATATAAATGTAACGTAATATTATAAATAAAGGCAATATGAAACACAAGCAATATTGGATGATTATTGCAAGTAAAAGTATATATAAATCCCAACGTGATTGTGATCTTGGCCGCTCATTAACACGTGATCACTGCGTCTGCATTTTCATAATAGAAATGGTAACCTAGCGTCACTTTTCTCTATTCTTTTGATCACTTTACTGGTGTTGCCTCCTGTAGGTGGTCGCTCACAAAGCACAGGAGCTTTGTGTTTTTTTTAGCCCTTTCTTCTTGTCACCATTGATGTAGAGATTTGCAACCTCTTTGATCATCCTGTCTTCCTGCAAGACATTCGGTAGACACCAGTCCAGCTTAAATTGGTACGGAGTGACAAAGTGTCGTTACTTTGACCTCCGGGTTGCTGTTGGGATTTCATTGTTGAGTAATAAGACTCTACAATCGATTCTGGGCCACCCTTAGCCAACGCGATATCAATTACTAGACAGGCCTCCTTTCCAAACATTGTATACACATCTTCAACCGTGTATGTCAGTATATGGATTTGTACACAGCCTCTTCGTTTAGTGTCACATCCATGAACCAGGCAAACTCATGAACACTGAGTCACTGACCTCATGCATTATTCAAATTCAATATAATATAAATAATGTACAGTGTTGGTAGTGTTACGTGTCGTGTATATATTTGATGACAGATTGACAGTTTGAGCTAAATAATAACATGAAATGTAAACCGAAGTGAAAGTTGAATTTTGAAAATCAAATGATTTAATTTATAAATAATTCATGAGAATTCATGATGATGAATCAGGACTGATTCAGCAAGTTAGCAATCAGCACGAGAAATAAAAAGCAAAGAAAAAGCCTTGTGGTGACTGGTGAAATTGAAAATTGTAAATGAGATGAGCATTAAATCGGTTGACTTACCATAAAGATCAGTTTTGCCAGCGCCTAGCGACTCTTAGCACATGTTTACGGCCTCGGTCTCGGAGCGAACGCTAACAGGGCTCTGGGGGGACTGGGAACGAGATCTTACGACAAGTAAACCCGGGGGCCGGGAATCGCGAATATATACGGTTTTAATTCCAAACAGATGGTGTTTCTGTTTTTCATGCTTTGTCGGTTCAATTACAGAATAAAGAAGAAATTTTATTTGCTTGTTGACAGCAATTGTTGTACACCATTTCTTAATCGGGAAAATTCCTCTTGTTACGCCAGTTTCCCCGCCAAGCACAGCTTATATGCTGTGATGCCCGCCAAATGTTCCTTGGCGGGGTCATTCAGGCCTTGCTGCCCGCCACAGATCTGTGGCGGAAGGACCCCTGAATGCAGACTGGGTGAATTTCAAATGTGTTGATAATTGATATAAACTCGTATAAAGTTTGCTCGCAGATAACTTGTGGTTTACATGGCCTATACTTTATGTAAATAGCTTATAATTGGACAACAAATGTACCAACTAACTAGGGGAGGGGTAAGCAAGCCAATGCGATGCAAATATAACGCTATAAAGCAATCCAAACTGATTTCATTCAGGACAACGACGCGTTGCTAAGGCGTTGCCAAGGAGAAAAATCTTACATATCCTCACGAAATCGCTAAAATGTTGTACTTCTACTTAAAGTTAGGGGGTGAACAATACATCAAACGAAAGCTCATGAATTGGGGAATTCAAAAATGCATGTTCCAAAAATTTCCTAATTTCGACATTTTTTCCAAATATCAGGGTGTTAAGTAAAATGAGATCCAATTTTGGCATTAACGTTAATGAATTACTCTGGTTTGAATCATGCCTAACCAGGGACGAATCCCCTTTTAACTGGGGGGGGGGGGTCTCCTAGAATTGCCCTGCGAAAGCCGTTGATGCCCTGCAGAAAAAAATTTTCGTCGACCTCCCCTCGTCGACCCCCCCGTCACCAAACCTAACATAACCTAACGGATAGGTAACAACAATGTGTAGCTAATTAACCTGCGATCAGGCCTATAAATAAATTAATAGGCCTGATACAAATCTTAACAAAAGTCCATGTTTTTCTAACCGTATTTCGGTTGTAAATTTGATTGGTTTATGAGACAAAAGGTTTTTTAATCTGTCATTTGATTGGTTGGTGCTAATTACATTATATATTGTCGTTGATATATTTATAGTGATCACAACTATAATTAGATTGTTGTTGTCGTTGTGTGAAATTTAAATTTCTCCTGCGACATTTTGATTGGATACTAAATATAAACTTTGCTGTGGGTGGAATGCGATCGGATTAAGGATTGTGTCAGGCTATTATTTGTAAAATAGAGCCTGATCGCAGGTTAGTAGCTAATGGGATACCACACTCCGTTGGAAAATTAAAATGTGGGGTCCCCCAGGGGTCGATCCTGGGGCCGTTGTTATTTTTGCTTTACATCAATGGCCTACCACAATGTCTCCAAAAACCACGCCGGGTCTGTATGCTCATGTAGAGCGTAATAAAACACGGGCGGTGAAACGCGCTAATATTTGCCAAAATGCACGGAAAAGCGGGATTTTTAAAGATGAAGCGAAGCAAAAACAAGAAACCGCAAAAATATTTAAAGGGCAATCAGAAAGCAGGGACGCCGGAACGATGTGAATTAAGGCAAGGGGGGCAGATTTTCGTGAAAGGGCTCTTTTGAATTGATATATACTAAGAAATGTTTGCAAAACATCGGGAGTTGAACTTCGCCTAATCATGTTTTCTATTTATTGGATGATAGGGTTGTGAGGGGGTTCTCCGCCAGGCGATTGTGCTATTCTTGAAGCTCGATGACTGCATTTCTTGCGTTTTCTGAAGCAAATTCGTAAAATAATTGCACTAACATTTCTGACAATTCGCTATTTCGCCAAGGTAATCCTTTAAATTGAGGGCAACGGGGGCGGCTGCCCCTCCTGTCCCCCCAGTTCCGGCGTCCCTATCAAAAAGTACAATTTCTAGTATAAAATAGAGACTCTTGCAATTAATTAGTATTGCACATTACATCGCTGGAGTTGGAAAAGCATTTTTAAACTGTAAAATTATTTGAATGCGTAGCGATTTTATCATATAAAATATATTTACATTTTGCAGGCAATGACAAATTGTAGTCGAGTTTTTTAGCCACACCGAGTGGAAAAACCTGAGTTGGAAGGCATATTCAAATGGAAGATAAAAGTTAGGGAAAATATCAATTATAAGGAACAAGCAGAAAATTCCGTTTTTATTATGTTTGAAGGTTGTTTTATCTCAATAACGTTTACAGCGTCAGCGCGATGTCGCAGTTTTACAAGCACGGAAAATTTTAACGGTAAATGTTTCATGCACAATATATGAAAACTAGTTTCATTTTGATGTTTTTGTATTAATTCAAGACATTCAAGTACCTAATTTTCAGCAAATCCACCAAATGATAATGGGCTTTTTTAATTTTTAAACATTTTTTCCCTTTATTTTTGACATGTAGATGTCGAAATCTACACATGGAATACAAGCAAACAATGACTGAAGAAGAGAATTTATTAAATCTTCAGTTTAACTCTGAAGAACAAACTTTATTAGATCTACAATGTATCAAGTATATGTTATATAAATTCTTGATTGAGTCGGTTTTCTTTCGTGTACCGCGAGCAGAAAATTTTTTGGGGGATCACTTTCTTTGGGAGCTTGGTAACCGCGCCTGTTATGATGCAATATAGGAAGCCTGTACAGCAGGAAATAGATTGCGGTCGAACTCTTTGACGCGACTTATATATTTTATACTTAGTCAGATAACCGCTGCGGTTTTGACGCATTATTCATCGCGTCTTTCCGAAAGCTTTGTACCCATAAATAAAATGTAATAAAAAGAGAACACGTTACAATTTTTTTATAAAATAGATCAAAATATATCATAAATATCGAGATATTGAATTTTGTTTTGAATATATGCTGGTATAAAGGTCATAAGTTCTTGCGTATTCGAAATATAGACATATTATTTGCAGTTCATTTAACTGATAGAAACGTTCACATTCAAATTACTCAATTAGGTAAAATTAACTATGAATTTATTTTAAAAGATTCCCTGTTTGTATTATATTGTGCACTACTAATACCGTGAGAGTATATGTCACAGATAGTGTCGGTTGAAAACGTGATGTTTATACTAGCGGACAAATATGCAAACCACACACTCGTTAATGCAAAATGTAAACAAGACACGTTTATAGACTTTGGATTATAAACTATGTAAACTTTGCAATATAAACTGTGTAAGCTGAGGGGGAGGCAGAAATTCACAAATTTCACTTGTAGTAACTTCTAATATATATTTTACATTCGTACTTCAGCATTCAGTTTACTTCAGGCTATTATTGGCACACACGTTTACATCAAGTGTCCCAACAAATCCAAATATGTACCCTGAATAAAAGTCGCGGTTACCAAGCCTCCCACGGAAAGTGATCCTCTCAAAAATTTCTGCGTTACCGCATGTAGCGCGAGGTGATATACAGTTAGTATTATTTTTAATAATCACCTTGAATATATTAATTAGCTGAAAAGGTGAAGCCGTGAAGGAAAACTCAGAAAATCGTCGTTCAAAGCGGACGACGAAACAGACAAAACTTTGTTGGAAAACCTCCTCAATCAAGAATTAAATATGATAAACACCTCGAAAATCGGAATTTGTGTCAGATAATGCCCTCGGATGTTGCGCATCCGATCCTCGGGTCATTATCTGTGTTTATCCTATATTCATATGTTAACTAAAAATGTACAATAACGTCCAGTGTTGTCCAGAAGATTATAGTGTAAAACATGAGGTTACATACTTTAGTCAGGCGCAGCACTCCAACGCCATTAGTAGTTCCGTTCTGAATGCGGTTCTCAAATTCATCCAATCTGTTTGCAAGAGCCAAAACGTCTGACTTGATCTCTGATGTCTTCTTGTCAAGGGCTCGTTCCCATTCTCGACGATTATCTTTTAGGTTCTCCTCCAGATGAGTTATATTCTGATTCACCTGAGTTGTAAGATTTTTCACTTCTTCTCTCAAATTCAAATAATCTTCAGCGGTATCATTAAGATGAGACAATGCTTCCAATTTCTTCTCAATGACTCTCTGAGTTTCCTTGACATTATTCAACTCGTTCAAAGCTCGTTGAACTGTAGCACTGGTCGTGTAATTTATCGTCTTGTTCAGCGCTCTGGTTTCGCTGAGAAGTTCCATGTAGTCGTGTTTAAGTTGCGTTGCTTCGTGGCTGAGTATTGAAATAGTACGGTTGGTATCCTCACGTTCGATTTTAGCTTTGTCGGTTAAATTAGCGACTTGTTTCTTGATCATTGCTTTAAGACTTTCTATCGCAGACTCTCCGCCGTCGTTCAGCTTGTCTTTTGTATACCGCTTATATGTACAGACACTCAACAAAATAGCAGCAATAGCTATGAGTATTGCAATGACAGACAGTGCAATCCAACATTTATCTTTACCATCAGCCATTAGCGACTTGTATACAACTGCAGTATAGTTCTTAAATTTTAACCGCACAGGCTTATATGCCAAAACTAGTGAACTGATCGAAACCGAAAGAGAAAATTAATGATTTGATTATTAAGTGAAATACGATCAGAATGTTATGATATGAACTTTTCCTGGAATCGCTGACATTTAATATCCCAGATATATTATTACTCAAATCAATTAAATTATTTGTGCATATATATTGATTATTGTATTTTGTAGTTATTGTAATAACAATTAACTACTTCCTAACTTAATCCTCGTGAGGATTAAGTTAGCAGTTGTTATTACAATATTAATTATAACTGCAATGCATGATAGCGCAAATTGCAAACAATAGCATGAACTTTGGATACTCGTGATTTTATCGATCAAACGTCACTGATATCAGTACATATACTCGGAATCAGCTAGAACTGACTTCAAACGTCAGTCGACGTCATTTTTGATTGAGACTGTAATGAGACATGCAGTAATAGACAAAAAGATTCATACATGCACTTGAAAAATGTGGATCCAATAAATATTGATATATCTTATATATAATTAGGAACACAATTTGACTGTAGTAATTCTGGAAATTCACACTCTTTTATAAATTGTTAATTTAACTTGAAAAACCGGTGAAGTCTGCATTTTGGAAAGACAGTTGATAATAAAAATGATAATAAAAAATCATTTTGAGGGCATATTTTTGTGATTATAATTACAGTCTGAAAGACCTCACTACAATATTTTAATCAAATTAAATGGCCCTCTTAAATGTTGCTGATTTTCAAAACCCTTTTATAATTAACCATGTAGCGTAAGATGGATCGGTGCCAGCAACAGCAACTCCTTTAGCAAACAACTGAAGCGTTATATAACAGTAACAAGACGCCTGCTCAGGCGTTTACACTGGCCTGAAAATAACGAGATACGTGCTATGGTGCAGGAATACAAATCTTAAACCGCAAGCAAATTTTATGGACTTTTTAAAAAATAAAAGACCTTTTCGGGAGACGTAATGGAGATCGATGCACGTGCAAATCATGCCGACCTGCAGAATCGATTTCCGGTTTTTCCTAACAGCGCGTTGTTTTCATGTGCGTTCCATGGGCCGCGCTAAAAATATAAATATTCTGTAAATACCGAAATAAAAGATGAAAATCTCAAGACACAAGCTTGAAAATAACACTATAAATAGTGTTTTCGATTCTGGTTCCAATAACATTATCACGAAAAAGATATGTCCAAAGGGGCCGAAGTTATGTTCGGCAAAATGTATGGCTAGTTTACATTATGAAATATGATACCATACTTGTATTAAAATTCGCGTCGAACTAATGTTATTGTAATTGAGTAGACTTGCCACAAGTCGACCTCGAACGAAATTCGAGGTCGACTTGTGGCAAGTCTAGCAAATGATTGAGAACCATACAAATGATACAATAATGGTTCTAGTTCTTGTTGGTATTTTGAACGCACGCTTTATCTTTAGTATAGCTACCACAAAGCTTTTCGCGCGGATTATATTTCGTGGAGTACTAAATATTATATTTTGTGGTTTTGGCGAGTCATTACACAAAGAAAAACACGTTAATTCAACACGCAAGAAAGTCCAGAGTACGACACAACGTAAATACATAGGAAACCGGCACAATTCTTTGAAAATTCAACGAAACTGTGTAAAATATAGTTTGATCACTCTGTGAAAAGCCGCCGTTGCAGTTCGGAATTGTGCGCGTGCGTACAAGTGTATAGGCTAATAAACGAAAAATGTACCACAAGCATGGCATGAGTCGGCTATTACGTACATATATACGAGTTTATTACTATACTATCTAAATCATGGAACCGAGGGAATCGATGGCATTTTGGCTTAATCGTTGCACCCTGAGCCTGCGATGAGCTAACGCAAACTCGATTTCTCGACTACGAAAAAAAAACAGAAAAAGAGGGATTTAAGACACTTGGCCTTACAGGCCAGTGCCAGTGTAATTATCAAACATTTGACAACGGATATACTTATGATGCCCGTGATTGTAATTTAAATAGCAACGGACTTTGAGTTGGTGGATCCGTTTTAGGAACTTATGAACAGCGTTTACATGAAGGTCACTAGAAAATTACAAAAAAATAATAGGACAATAGAATTAAGATGTAAATGAGTGTCAAAATATTTCAACATGTATTTCAAAACTTTGCATACAAGCTGTGACAGTCTACATACACAAAAGACAATTAACACACATGCATGCAGGCTATCATATTTCATACACTAGACCTTGCATGCATGACTTGATCAGGACAGCTTCGACCAAAAATTCGACAAAATATTCATAATACATATATGATATGCAATTCTTTAATAATTATAAGACTCGTCGGATTTGGCTGGAAATTTCTGAAAATCAGATTTCGATTATTTCATTTTGAAATGGTGGGTCTCAGATTTGAGTTCCACTACCACTACCTCTCAAAGGATAATAATAAGGATTTCTTACCTAAATTAGATTTTTATCGTTACTAGTAAAAGTTGTAAAATATGAATATATGATAGACTCTTAATATTTGCATAAGTGGCAGAATAATGGTTAGTTGAGTGTGGGGACAAGCGCGGGTGTTACTGTTCCATAGGCATGTTTCGGCTCCTTGATGATTTGTATTTCATGCAGCGAAGAATATTAAGCCGTTCTTCCACTGTAATCTCTTACAGGAGGGAGTGGGCTTTGATCGGGGGCTACTCTACCCTTTGTTCCGTTTCCCCAACACGTGCGTAAACTTTGTGAAGAAAATTGAGAGCTCTTCTGGGTCCTCCCCGGCGTGAAAATTTTTATCACTCTTCAGTTTGATAAGTACTTAAGGTGGCTCCCTATAGTTAGTACAGTTTAAATACGATTTATATAGATCAGACTTCATCCTCGCGACCTGCGCGTGGAATCGTCGTGTTTACTGTTCGGCAAAAATATTGAAACAAGCCGCGGAAAGTTTTTTGGCGTTTTTATCTACAAAGAAAGCTCCAGTTTTTCATTATAATCCTAATTTTTTTGTGAATTCGAACAGTACGTATGTTATTAACTAGTTTAGCCAATCTTTTAGTGTGTTTTTACGTATTTACGTTCAGTATTGTCTTTCATGTTGCTCAAAATTTTCAACTTGTTGTGTTGCGAACTGTCAAACTGAAATGATACTGTACAGCTTCTATAACTCTTGAACAGTAGTGAACTGTCGCCGAAACTTATGTAAGTTCTGTCAATCAATTTAATTCACAGGTATCGTTTTATCTGCTAAATCAAATAAAACAGTTATGAGTTGTTTTATATGAAAAGTTAAACTTGTAGTTCGATGTTTTGAAAAGTTTTCACACCGATTTTAACAACAAAAACAAATATAAACTAACACTGGATTTAATACAATGCGTATAATAGTGTTTTTTATTAGTATTTTCAAGATTAATATTTTATTTTTTTTAAGTCAGAAATATCTGTTTTCGTATGTATTGTAATCCAAAAAGTTGAAATCACTATAAATCACACGCTACAATTTACACGCATGCGCAGATCGTGCTCATGTCGAGTCGATTTTTTTTCATGCTGGCCACGCCGATTTTAGCGATGATTTTCTCGTGTTTTCTTCGGTAAAATTTTTTTAAACTTCGTATTTTTGTTATACAAGACGAGTAGTACAACATATCCAAATTTTAAGAAATTCTACAAATAACTTTTTCTGTAACCGTCATTCACGAATATCTCGAAAACTTATTTGTAAATTCCCTTCAAATTTTGATATGTTTTTCCTTTATGGCCAATAAATCTTAAAAAAAAAATTCAGAAAACTTCACCGAAGGAAAATATAGATATTGTCAATTTATTGTGAAATTAGACAATAAAAGTGCAAAAGATTAAACATCATGGTTGCCATGGCAACACGAACATTGTTCTAATTTGTTCATAAATGGACAGCACACAGCTTCTGAACTTTCCTGGAAATGATCATATTGCCTTGTCTTAAGTGTATCTAATATAAATTCGGTTCAAAGCGAACGTTACTCAAAATACCTAGAATTTTAGAGAACTGTAGGGAGCCACCTAGGACGGTATTTCTGGCATTTTCTAAAGCATCTACAAGGAAAACGACAATTAAGCATATGATATGTTAAGGTTATATAATTCCAAGCGGAAGGCATATATGCAACCGTGGTTAGCGTTATTTTTAACGGTCAAATATTGAACAGTTTGTATCATTTATACATCATAATCGAACTCGTACTCAGAGTCCAGTCTCTAATGTTAAAATCTTCCTACTGCAGAACATCCACTTTCCAAGGTACGTTCTTTAACCGAATAGTTAAAACTTGGAATAATGTTGGAAAAATAGCATCTCCTGAAAAGTTCGCCAGCTTAACTATTTTTAAAAGCTTTCTGCATGCAAATGACACTATATATACACCGACTAGTACTTTTAATGTTGATATGGCATGCACCTGGTCGCTCACAAGAGACTGCGCTGCCGCCGTTCTTAATCTGCATGTTATGTAATATATATTTGTATAGTAAATTAGGTTTGGGTTTTTTTTAAACTATTACTAGTTTAATATTAGTTTAGGGGTTGCGCCTAGCATGGGTCCCATTGTCCGGTTTGCGCTATTCCCTTTGGACTTAAAACTTGTAAATATTTCTACTATATTGTGTCCAATTAAGCTGATAAATAAATAAATAATAAATATCAATGGAATTAATAAAACGATTGGATAGTAATTTCATCCAATTGAAAATTTGAAACTTCAGGCAATAAAGCTATATCTTTTTCTAGAACATCAAAATGTTTATCAAAGTCAAAATTAGAAAAGTCAACATTAATTTGTATGAGCTGTATATCTAAAGGAATTATTATTAATAATTCTTGCAAAATATTAATATTATAATAATCTCGTTTTTGATGATCCTCAATTAATTAGTATACACGCTTCCAATTTGCAGTTAAAATGTAATTTATTCGGTAGATTTTCTAAAAATAAAACAAATAATTCTGTTTTGTGCACGTACTGATTTCAGTAACGACGTGTATATAGTATGGAACGGAAGATTAAAGGGGCAGTATCATCCCAAATCATGTTCGATTTTAAATGTGTAACAGACAGTAATAACATTTACTTACCCGAATATGAAAATAAAACCAATCAGTTTGACTTTTAATTCTCTTAAGAACTGTCCAAAAACAAAATATTTTACGAAAAATTCGTCCGCCATTAAGTTATTGGAGCCTGCAAAATCCGACCTGCGGTTAAGCGCTGTGACGTCATCTACTCAACACGCTTCTTTCCCGAAGGAGAAATTAATATTATCAAAGGCTTATACTAGGCTGTTTTTTGTTCAAAATTATGTCTTCTGACGAAAGCTACAGCTCCAATTTTGCAACACAATCATCTTGCGAACTCTCTTTTGCCGAAGACGTTTCTTATGATAGCGGAGGTGATATAAATATGGAGAAAAGTGTGGATTTGTGCGAGGCCTATGATACTTCAGTCAAACCTCTTGCCACTGGAGAAACATAACACATGAAGAATACTATAATTGAGAGAGAGCAAAAGCAGCAAACACTGTCTGCTAGATTGTCTGGTGAAACCTCAACTGACACCTGGTACGTTTTGGATTGTATTTATTCACGTTTTGGTTATATTTGTGACATAAAACAAACATGTGATGGCCATGTAAAACAAAACAAATGGTTGCTGATCTCCTTATAAAATGTTATTGTCACTTCCGTTATTGCACGAAACGTCTTCAATGAGAGATGGCTTAAAGATGACTGTGTTGCCAAATTGGAAATCCTACTCACGTAAGAAAACATTAATTTACACAAAGTTGTGGGAAATATACTTCAATTGTATACTTCAATATATATTAATGGTCCATAGGTGTAAATGTGGCAACTGTGTCCTGGCCTTTGTGGTAAAACCCAATGAATGTTGTTGTTTATGTGAACCTTGTAAGGAAAAAATGCTGGAAGAAAACATGCATGACCACTGCTTAACTGAGCATCCAGCATTTGATATTGGGTGTTTGAACCATTGGGTGTTAAAACTTGCTGGTTTAAGTTACAAAACCCAAATAAAAGGCTGCCAAAATTATACCACTCGGTATACCGAAGGGAAAAAGAGTGAACCAGAGTAAGTATTTCAATGTGTATTTCAATGTGTATTTCTAGGCAATACCCCCCCCCCAATGGAAGAGATTTACTTTATGAACCCCCATCCCTCTGGATTTTTCTAACTGTCCCTGAGAACTAATGTTTCCCCCATCCCTATGGAAATTCTGGACAGTTTTTTACTACTAACATACTTTCAAGCATGATGTCAGTGTTTTAAAAAAATAACTCGGCAAGATACAACATTGTTCACATAAACGAGACAGAAACCGTATTTTGGTGTATGCACAGCAAGGAAGGGGGTACCTTGTTGAACTGCTGGTACCGTATAGCCCCAGACAAGCTTCTCTACTTGCTGATATGAAACTGCCCTAAGAAACCATTCGAAAAGAAAATTTTTATATTAACATGACAGCTTTAAAATTTAGTACCGTAATCCAAAAATGATACTGTTTGTCATTTGTGAGCTGTGTTCTGCACAGAAACACCAGGATTCATGATGCAAGATCCTTGTTTAGCTTACTTATAACTGTGTTATCACTTAGCTATAGACCTTTCATGTTTTCCTGTTCACATGATGGGATGTTTCACTACCTTGCTCATCTTTACAGGGATTCAAACATTACTAAATTCAGAATATGGTACTCAGATCATGACATTGTAACAGTTTGGCTGCCCCTGGCTGATGATAATTTCTTACCACTCATCAATCACCAGAGTAGGGAGAGCTCTTTTTCTCACCCACCTACCTGGTAATAATTAAAGTGTGCATGACATGAATTTTTTGCCTTAATTTTACTGCTCTACTAGAAAGTACCTTTCAAGTGATGAAAAATGGTAGTTACAGTTTTCAGTGTGAACGTCACAGTATTGTGATGACTGGGGGGAAATTCAAACGAATCAGTCAGTCAGTCATACAGTAAACTTTCCGGGGGGGTGTATAGGATTTATGTTCGTAGTGATTTATTGTACGTAGTGTTTTGAAGGTTATTTAGGCAATTTCAGTTGTCTTATTTCAATCAATTTGACAGCTGCCAAAGCAAATGTAGTTTTAGAATATATGCCAAATTTGGTTGTTGGTGAAACAATTTAAATTTCGAGTTGTCGCGTGTAGCATCCAGAGACGGATTTTCATATTTTCGTTCAGGGGGGTGGATAAATATCTGGGGAGGGGGGGGTGCTGCTGCTTGCTTTGGCCGGGGCGTGGTGGCAATGCCCGGAAAGGCCAAGGAAAAAAGTTTAGCAAAATTTGTTTTCTAGGCCTGCATGGCGAGATCTGAGACCATAATATTGGTAATTTTAAAAATTTAGTAGTAAGAATAATTAAATATGAAAAGTTCTATCAAATCAAAATATATGTAATTTGCAGGGGTGCCAAATGCCTTTGGGGGGGGGGTGCCCCCTCCCCCCCCAGAAAATCCGTGCCTGGTAGCATCACAATAAATAAATAAATTATATCAGTTCCACGACGCACAACATTTTTGATGTGTTAGCCAGTTGTTTCAAAAGTCTCGCTATTCATGTGCCGAACGCATTAAAAACAATACTGTCAATAGATGAGATGAAATGCCTTTGGTAACTGTTTATTTTGTAGTGTAAGGCATCAGCTTTTCTAGGTTGTCGGCGACCCTATATAGTTTTTGCAGTGTCTTTTTCAATTTGAAACTTCACACTATCCTTGGATCTCTAGTTTCATATCTCATCTCAATCCAGATTTATTACAGTTTTTGTAATTTGAGCTATGACATCATAAGCTGTGCTAAAAGTTGCAGGAAAAACTTAAAGTGGAATATCTCCAAGAGGATTTGAGCAAATGAAATGAAACTTTGCACAGTTGTTTACACACTTTGCACAGTTGATAGTAGTAAAAAAACTGTCCAGAATTTCCATAGGAATGGGGGAAACAAGTTGTCAGGGACAGTTAGAAAAATCCAGAGGGATGGGGGTTCATAAAGTAAATCTCTTCCATTAGGGGGGGGGGGGTATTGCCTAGAAATACACATTGAAATACTTACTCTGGTTCACTCTTTTTCCCTTTGGTATACCGAGTGGGCAGCCTTTTATTTGGGTTTTGCAACTTAAACCAGCAAGTTTTAACACCCAATGGTTCAAACACCCAATATCAAATGCTGGATGCTCAGTTAAGCAGCGGTCATGCATGTTTTCTTCCAGCATTTTTTCCTTACAAGGTTCACATAAACAACAACATTCATTGGGTTTTACCACAAAGACCAGGACACAGTTGCCACATTTACACCTATGGACCATTAATATATATTGAAGTATACAATTGAAGTATACAATTGAAGTATATTTCCCACAACTTTGTGTAAATTAATGTTTTCTTACGTGAGTAGGATTTCCAATTTGGCAACACAGTCATCTTTAAGCCATCTCTCATTGAAGACGTTTCGTGCAATAACGGAAGTGACAATAACATTTTATAAGGAGATCAGTAACCATTTGTTTTGTTTTTACATGGCCATCAAATGTTTGTTTTATGTCACAAATATAACCAAAACGTGAATAAATACAATCCAAAACGTACCAGGTGTCAGTTGAGGTTTCACCAGACAATCTAGCAGACAGTGTTTGCTGCTTTTGCTCTCTCTCAGTTATAGTACTCTTCATGTATTGTTTCTCCAGTGGCAAGAGGTTCGACTGAAGTATCATAGGCCTCGCACAAATCCACACTTTTCTCCATATTTATATCACCCCCGCTATCATAAGAAACGTTTTCGGCAAAAGAGAGTTCGCAAGATGATTGTGTTGCAAAATTGGAGCTGTAGCTTTCGTCAGAAGACATAATTTTGAACAAAAAACAGCCTAGTATAAGCCTTTGATAATATTAATTTCTCCTTCGGGAAAGAAGCGTGTTGAGTAAATGACGTCACATCCGCCTAAGAAATCGACATCTAACTCGGTAATGGCGGCCGAAAATTTTGCATGTTTGCGTTGAAAAAAAAGGTAGAAAGAAATGGAATTGGACGCTGATATTTGGTAACTTTTTTTATCTACTGATATACTTTCTGAATATACAATAAAAAAGACATCACAATTTTCCATCGTACTGCCCCTTTAAACAACCTGGAAAACATCATCTAGATTGGCACTGACTCGTCTATGAGTACATAAATAATCAACGACTTTTCATACTTATGCAAATTCATACCAAAGAATTCAAACCATGCCTTCATATCATGTTTCACTAGCCTGGTTTCCATATGGTCGTAACTGTCGTAAAGATTGAGTCACGATCTTTCGCATCAGCCAAAATATTTAGAACTGAAAATACGCGGAGTGATTATAACTAGAGAATACTTATGATTTATATGTGGTTTACAGGTATAAATTATTATAAACTGCCCGTTGAAAAAGATCGTGACTCTATTTTTACGACCATTAAGACCATATATGGAAACCAGGTTTAAACAGGTTTTCAGCTGTGCATATTTTAATTCAGTAATTTCTATTTTGAGTATTGACCGAATGCCTTTCTCCACTACGGACAGCTCAACATTGAAAGACATGAAAACCAACCAATAGATATATACCGTATGTAGACAGATACTGACATGCATGCATGCATGCAGAAAATTGTTTCATCCGAAACATTGCTCTTCTTCACGTTCGCACTTTTCAGTACTCGTCCAGTTTTTGTTCTGCGGATCTCAGATAAATTATCTTAGGACAAAAAAAAATACGCCAAATCAAGGCTCACGGCTAGACATTTAAATCACGTTTTACGAAAAAAATACGTTATTTCGCATTTCACGAAAACAAATATTGATTTATACCACCCTCAGTGTAAATATCTTAAAATTTACAAAATCCGTTTTGGCAGCTATAAGGATTAATTTACTACAAGGTGACGTCTAGTCCAGCTTTTCACCTGCATGGATAGACCTGATCACGTACGTAACATCACTAACACGTTTATATATAGCCCTTCATTTGAATTTTAAGCTTATCGAGAGCCTTTGTGATGAATCACTGACCTAATTATAGAATCCAACGGCAAACAGCCAATCAGAATGCCGCGTTCGTGGGCGAACGCGGAAAGTACAAAAACCGGGTCTTGCTTGCAGGCCCATTATCAGTTCCCTTGGGCCTGCACGCGGGCTAGGATGTTTGAAATATTCCGAATAGATTTCATATTAAGGTGGCTCCCTACAGTTATTCTTGTTCAAGCAATAATTCCGTAAAACAGGCTTATTCGTGCAGAACGCGAATTCTTTTCGTGTTGGTGGCAATATTGGTCACCTAAGGAATATTTCGAACTAGATTTCGACAACGTCAATGTTGCCATGGCAACATGACGACAGCATAAAGCCTTCCAATTTAACCCATAAATGTGCTGCTATCTCAAAAACGATGTCGGTGACCTACCTTTTTTATTTCATATATCAATAGGGAATGATGCTCTGCAACAGTGATGAAAGTTTAAAAAAATTCTGTAGTGTGTGATTTTTTTAAAAGCGAAAATTTTATTGCGAAATTTCCACACTAAAGATTTTTCTTAAAATTGAAATTTATAAAATTTACCGCAAAATAAATTCGTGGTCAAAATTTGAAGATAGGTCACCGATAAAACTAATGAGTAAAATGCAAATAAAGTTAGAAAATAGCCTCGTGTAACTCGAGAAATTCCTCTTATTGAAAAGCGTCGCTGACTAGTAAAAGATTGTACGCGGGCGCAGAACGAGCTTTCATTCAGCAAAGTCGGGAGGCAATGTTGTTTTTACTGTTTTGTTTTTGTCAACTTCGATTTATTTGAGCGCCATGGACAGCCAAGGATCATTGTGAAGGATCAAATCGATGAAAACAACAAAACCTCTTTAAGGTTGAAGCTAATGGACCTTTCCCCTTATAACTAAAATTTCGATCTGCACAAAAGTTTCATCACAGCTTGAAAGAGCATCACAAAATTAGTAATATTCCAAAGTTTTGTTGCAAAATCTTGTAAAATGCGGATAATATAGCCTTGCGAAGTTTGCCGTTTTTCAGTCATTTTGTATTACAAACGGGAAATTGACATCCGATTCGGGTGTTGGGGCTGCAATTTCCGTTTGTAATGCAAAATGACTGAAAATTGCAAACTTCGCAAGGCTCTATTTTCCTCATTTTACAACATTTCGCAACGAAACGTTGGAATATTACTAATTTTGTGATGCTCTTTCAAGCTGTGATGAAATATTTGTCTAGACTTGCCTAGATCAAAATTTTGGTTATAAGGGGAAAGGTCTATTGAACCCTGCCGTTTACTCAATCTATGAGCTGTAACAGCCTATTAACAGGTGGACCTGTTTTTTTTTTGTTTCATGTTTGGTTTTGTACTTTTTGCTAAAAATGAACTATTAGGCTATGAAACTGAAATATTTTTGTGTTTACATATAATCACTTTAATCTTGTAGAAACACGACAAAAAACGTGAACGTTTTCTTGAGAAGTAAACAACTTTTTAAACGTTTGTATGCAATTTTGCAAATGTTTTACAGTTGACAGTGTATATTTAAAAAAAATTAAAAAACATTGTTTCGTAGCTATTTTTGGTCTAGTGATATTCGTATCATATGTAGAATTGCTGTATAGACTCGCAAGTGATTTGGCACTCAAAACGAAGTATTATTCAACGCTTTTTTCCATTAGAAACCTTTCAGAAATAGCTTCTTTTTTTTAAAAAACCGTGGTCAATATTTGTTTTGTTTTGATCATGCAGTTGCGTGGGATAGTTCACGTACTGGTCCCGCGAACATCCCGCACACAACTGTAGGGAGCCTCCTTAAAGGCAATTTTCCATTGCAGTCGCTTTGCCCGCGCGGGCGGAGCGGGCTTTGAAAATCTGCTCACGCGGGCGTGACGGGCTTCAAAAACAATGAACGCTCCGCCCGCGCGGGCAAAGCGACTGCAATGGAAAATGGCCTTAAGGCTGGTTTCCATTACAGTCGCTTTGCCCGCGCGGGTGGAGCGGGCTTTGAAAATCTGCTCACGCGGGCTTTGAAAATCTGCTCACGCGGGCGTGACGGGCGTCAAGAACACTGAACGCTTCGCCCGCGCCGGCAAAGCGAACGTTAATGGCAAACGGCCTTTCAGTTGGCGATGTTGACCGATCTTAGCTAGTTTTATGTGAGGAATAAAGGTGTTTATAGTGAGCATTTAACTAGTTTTCGAAGCGTTAATAGATGAGCCTTACTGCTAGTAGGGATTTCACGAGGATGTATCAGAAAAAAGTACACAGTTGGAAAAAGATTGAAATTTCTAGCGGAATATTATATACAATTTTAGACCTAACCAGGAGCACTGACTCAGCAACACTTACTCACTTACCTATAGTACTGTTGTAATTTCTCGTTCTATAAATGAAATGCATGGTACTCAGTCACTGTAAACATGTGCAGTTATTGTGCATAAGCGTCAAAACGTCGTTTCATTAAATTGTTAAATTGTCTTTGTTTAGTCAGAGTGTACCCAAGGTGAGCTGTTTAATTACATGAAGACTGTCTGGAGATTTAGTCCTGGCTTGAAAGGAAATCCACAGACATCGATAGTCGACTTTCACGTATGTTACACTATATCCAATATAATTATATACTATTCAATTTGGAACTTTTCATTTTTACAGTGGCGCACACTTCGAGAAATATGGGAACGGGGCGGGGCAACGTGTTACCGTCCATTTTTGCTGACATCATTTTTTTTAGCCTTTTTGTACTCAAGTTCATTTTTATTCTACCAATGGTTTCATAGTCCTAAAATTGCTTTTAAAACCCGAGCAAGTTTTCATTGACAAGTTTTGCTTGACAACTTTTATTTGTTCGTGTACCGCAAAAATTGACAATTTCTTCCTTGACAAGGAGCTATAAGTTCATTCCAGCTTTTCAGCAAGAAAAACCTGGCAAGTATTAGCACGGTATGTCATTGCACACTCATGTTCGAGCTGCCATTGAATCTCAGATTTTACTTCAGAATTTACTTTTGAATTGTGGTATGGAAGACAGTTTCAACTGTTTTTATTTTGTTTGAAGCAGCTTTTACGAAAATTGCAGTATCATCACATTGTTTACGTACTCAAATAGCGCCGGTCTTTCTGGTCACGTCCCAGTCTCGTCATCCTCGAGAGGTTGACGGCTTTAGACATTGTTTACCTACTCAAATAGCGCCGACTTGCGTCAAGGAAAGATTCTTGCATGGAAAAGAACTATATACATACCTGTACGAGCAAGTAAACTCGTCAAGAAACTTGCATGTCAAGGAAAGCTTGTTCGCGTCTGTACCGGTTTGGAACACCGAGCTTAAATGCTTATTGAAGTTATTGGGGGGCGGTTGCCGCCCCCAATCGTCACCACATACTTAGTGTACGCTACTGCATTTCTATAAGAGAATTGTTTTGGATACCTTTTAATTCAACATTATAATCGATCAGACTGAATTCTGCATATTGTATTTTATTCCATTGAACCTCAAATGGACTAGAAATTTCTAATAAAAAGTTGCTGCAAAGCCGTGTTCATGAGACCTGGGAATTACCTATAATAAACAACAGTTTGAACAATATTACTTGTTCCATGATGTCAGGGATCATCGTTTTCAACCACAATATCGAGTAAGACACGAGTAAGTGAGGTGCTTGTAAGGCTCGTAGCAATAAAATATTGAATTGAATTGTATGGAATTGAATCGTTAGATTAGGTGCAAACTGGTATAATTTTTAAGATTAAATTTATTATAATACTTGATCGCCAACTTAACTGATCGGTAAATGCAATTAGCCAATTAAGGCTAAGCCCCGTCTAAGTCCAACATTGATCAACAACGTTGCTCAAACAATGTTGGACGATGTCGATCAGTATGGACCTTTAGCGATCAAACTGTGTCTGTGATCTTAATCTCCTAAACCTGCATGCATTCAATTTATACAACGGATAATATATCACAAGATCTCTTTTATGTTATTTATTTGAAGGAATTTGTTTTGGCCTTTGTCTTTGCGTTGGTAAAGGCCGAGACACACCTGAAGCGATTCGACAACGCGGCGCGATTTTTTAGATTTTGAAACTTAATAAAACAGCCAGTGACAGGAAATAACTCACAATGTTATAGCGCTTCTAAATTTTGAAAAACTTAAACCAGAATCAAATATTGTACTTGAAAAAACAAGAAATGCACGATTTGAAATGCGTATTGGTACCGTGGTACGCATTTGGTCGAAGAAAACAAAAAATACCAATGTATCCCTTCTTTTCCACTAAAAACAATTTGCAGTATCAATGACAAACTAAATTATAATTTTCAATTAGTTTTGCTGTTTTGTTTTAAAATGCATGCAAACGGGGAAAATAATGGACCGGCGGTCCATTACGGGAAAATAGTGGAACGCTGAAAGTGCTTCTCAGCCAATCACAGTCCGCCATTTCACCGGAAGTGATGCTTGCCATATAATAAAAATCCGTAATGCGGGTATGTGATCACGCGGCGTAATCGTCAAATGTGAATGATCACGCGTAATCGTCAAATGTTGCACAATGTGAGGTGTAAATTTTAAACAAAGTCAAACCCGATCTAGCATCTTCCAACATCGGCCAGCATTACCCAATATAGAGTGTTCAAACGAGACCAACATGTTGTATCCAACAAATGTTTGACAAACATATTACGGATCTCACCCAACTGTGGAATTGCATTATAAATTCGTATCGCCGCCACTCCCACAAACGTCTGTGACCACACCTACGCATTTTTGCGTGTTTACAATTCCAATTTTAAACAGCCAATCGACGTTTAATTGTAGTTTTTACCAAGAACCGGATTGGCTATTTAAAATTTGAATTGCAAACATGCAAAAATATGTAGGTGCGGTCGTAGACGTTTGTGGGAGTGGCGGCGATACGAATTTTCGATGCGATGCCACAGTTCGGTGAGATCCGTAATATTGGCCTTTTATATATTTAAGGTTTGTTCGTTTGCTATGGTCAAAGACGATGCCTAGAAGCGTGGCATATAAATACGAGTAATCATGCTTTGAATAGGGATGAAGGCGCCTATTTGCCAGAGGAATACATGCATCTTATTGGCAGATGACGTCATCACCCCTGATGAAGACACTAGACTGGAGTGTCGAAACGTTGGGTCTTGATTACAATTCGACTGGGCTTTGTATTCATTTCGATAAAACCAGAGTAGCGAGCGAAACCATTGGCCTTATGTTAGCCCTATATACGTTAGAAATGCTCTGATCTACTATATACATGTACGACTGCAGGTTGGATTAAAATACAGCCTTGAAAATTGTTTAAATTTTAAGAAAGTGTGTATATATTTTTATGATTTGCACAGGTTGCGTTTGAATTCCGTTCTGCATTACATTTGCATCTGTCGTCGGTATTTTTTGAAGAAGTTGCAAAGAAAATGGTTGGTGCTTTTGAGAAGCGATGTGAGACACTCTATGGACCTAGTAGTTTAACAAAATCTCGGCGAAAGCAAGCATTTAGGACAAGAACATCAAATACTGTAGGTATGTGCCTGAAAACCTTAATTGCTTGCATATAGGCATACATTTTGTTCAGCGGTTGGGGCAAGGAACCTCACAGGATGCGAGAAATCACGTACTTTATACCGCTAATGTCACCGTCTGGTATATCTTTTTCAGCGACCTACCACATATACCTGTAAGTACGCGGAACTCGTTATATCGGTGTACTTACGTTTTGCCGCTAACCTATGACCTTTCCAAGAACATGATCCAGTAAATACCCGGATAAAAGAACGACTATTTTTATGTCAGGCTAAAGTGGTTCTTATCTAATGGGTACCTAGTGAGAAATCAGATACTGCGGCAATTAATGTTTTCTTCTATTACATGTTAACCCTTACCACAAATCTGACATGATACACAATGTTGATATTATATTCTTGGCCGTAAATATGATATTAGCGTCTTTTCGCTGTTCGTCCTGTGTTATGTTAAAATTATACATTTGGGGTAAGGGTTACACAGTTCTGTCATCAAGTATATACTCTGAACAACATGAGGAGAGATTTTCAACATTTTCAGGAAAAAAAGTTTTGAAAAAGTTTTAAAAAAGTTTTAAAAAAGAAAAAAAGCTTAAAAAATTAGATTTTCAGAAAAGTTAAAAAAGTTTAGAAAGTTAGGGTTAGGGGTTAGTGGTTAGGGTAGGGGTTAGATGCCGCGAATTGATCATTATGATAAATTCAAAATGTGCCGCGAATTTAACATATATAGTAAATTCAAAGGTGGAGCTCATGCTGACTCTGAACCTCTACTGTCCGCGGGAGGCACCGGTAAAACATATTCTTTTTTTTTCTTGTAGAAGCACGTCCCAGGTAACATCCAGACACAGTAACATACTGTACATTGCTTCGACCACTGATATGAGCTATTCTCACTCAACGTACACGTGAGAGATGGTCGCTTTGAATTGCGTCAGATTCAAACACTCTCCTGGTGTCGAAACAATGTCTCCTGGTGTCGTTGCGAACATTTCCCTCAATGTTTGGAAGCGGTTTGTGGCTAAATTATGATTTGTAAAATATTTTAGGAATTATTGGAAATGTTTTAAAGACGAATTTCAAATATATTCAAGCAATGCAATCATTATGTATACAACTGTAAAGTATAACTAAATACAATCAGGGCCGGTTGTACGAAGGCCGGATATGGACCTAACAATTAATAAAATAAACTTTAATTAATAACTATTAAAGTTTAGTCTGGTTTATACCAACCAACCAATTAACGAACAATTCAACTATTGTAGAGCTCTTGAAAAGGACAGCCCTATATCCCGAGTAGATTAAATATTTTTAAGAGTGTTATAGTAGAACTCAACTGGCGCTCAGAATTTACCCAGAAATATTAGTAATAAATTTTGAATTTTATTAGTGTTTGCAAATTACGTAGTCCTTACCCTGACCCTGCCGTACCGTAGTGTTAACTTCATCGAACTATACCTACTCTTAACTTATCTCAAACGTTTCCGTGTTCCTAAGAAACACCTGGTTAAAGTTTTCCTTGATTAACCTGGAAATAACCCAATTTAGGTTAACTTAACATTCCTGGTTAAATTTCCTGGTTATTTTATCTGACTAATTCCTACCATAGTCTGGTTAATGTAACCATGAGTCTAGGGCATCCTGGTTAATTTTAAAAAGCAGACTATGTTTGGTTGGTACCATAGCCCCAAGGAGACGATCAGACCCAGCCACCACATAAATCACCTAAAGGTTACAGTCGAGCAAGTTTTATGATTCCATAAATAATAGGAGGTCTGCCAAGTCGGAGACCCGTAGTCTACGGACGACGCCCTTTTGAGAGACTGAAAATAAAACCATGTCTGCTCACCAGAAGTATACCAGGGCGAATTTAATAGAAACTGCATGCTGAATCTTCGCCGTCAAACAGTGATTCTTAAGCTAATGAACGTGAATATATCTACTAAATATCTTAAGTGGAAACGATTACCCAAAATGTTTTCTCAATGATTGCCTGAAACCGACTGTCTGTAAGAACCAAAATAACTCCGACGGTAATACCTCTATCAAGGCTATGCAGTAGTTCCATATATTCAAGGTATTACAGAACCAACCAAGAGAATATTAAGTCATTGTAATATTATGGTTGCCGTCATCCTTATTTGACTTTCGGCACTTGCGAAAAGTAGGTGTGCACCGGAAGCAACTTTTTAAGTTGTGGCCGGAACTGGAAAAAGTTTCAAGGAGAGAGCTCGCAAATGTTGGAATAAAAAGATTGACTAACGTTAAACGTCATAATGAAGTGTTAATAGTGTACATTTTTCTTGTGTACTCCAAATTTCTGGCTATGCTATTCAATAAATAAACTTGATATTCTATCTCTCTGAAAACGACAAAGTTCCGGTTCCGGCCATGTTTTTTATTAGTTCCGGCCGGAACCGGAACTCTGAAAAATCTGGGTTCCGCCGTTCCGAAATAAGAAAACGCATGTTGTGTTTATTGTACCATGCGGTGACTGTGAGAAAGAGTATTTTGGTCAGTCTAAACGCCAGTTTGGCGCACGCGGCACGCCTAATTTAAAAGAATATCAAAAGCCTGTTTCAGCTTTAAATAAGGGGAACTCAGCTTTAGCAGATCATGTGTGTGACGCCAAACACGTGATGCGTAGCAATCGCGATGGCCAAAGACGTTGCCTATGTTTTCAATAGGGATGACGTTGCTTATTTGCCTCAAGAATATTAGAATATATCCATCTTCTTGACAGATTGTGCGACTTCACATCACCCCTAGCTGAGGAAGACACTATACATGGGTGTGGAAACGTTGGGTCGCAAATGCAATTTGACTGGAGATTGCATTAATTTATTACAACCAGAGTAGCTGGCAGACACATGACCTCTTCTACAACGTTACTAAACAATCTAGCAAATGACATAATTTAGTTCACTCGGAAATGCAAGCAAAACTGGAGAGTAAAACGACACGTGACCAACAGTAGATGAACATACCAACAATATTGAATTACTTGCATGACGCCACGTAATTCCGCTGACAAGAGTCTCTCTGCCTTGTTGGCGAAAGATGTAACCCTATGATGTAACCATTCGGAAATGAGCATTATTCTTTGAGAAATAGTGACTTTAACATCCCAAGGGTTGGAACTGTATGCTTCGGAAGACACTCGATAAGTCCAGGTCCAACTATTTGGTCAAAACTCAATAAGGAAACTAGACCATCTACAAGCTTAACATAATTTAAGACCAATATTAGAAATATGGACATCTCGAGTATAATAGACAATTTAGCTTATTTACAACTAATCAAGCTAGGACACTATTTATAATATATATCACTATAACAATATTGGTCAATTACACTTTACAGTTACTGACATAAGTATACGATCTTTAAAATACATGCACAATTCAAAAGCATAATACAAACGGACAGATTAACAGCTAAAAAAATTAAAAATACATATATAATGAGCTGCAGAGTTTGCAGCAATTCGTAGTCTTTACTTTTATAATTATAATGAAGTATGAAATCGGTATCTTACAAATCCTATGTCGAATGTCGTCACCCCTACTCAGGCCTGGAGTATACATGTAATAATCGCCACGATGCGACTATAAATCTTTACTTTATATCATGAAGTATAAGAAATCGTTTCTTGCAGCGTACTTTACAAATCGTTTCTGCATCTTTAGCTATAAAATTAATTCCGGCTCGGCTCCGAATTTGAACAACGCAATACTGCGTGGTTTTTGAAAGAACGAAGCAATTATATATATTTTGTTGAGTTGCGCGTGATTTATGCAACGTCGGTATTTTCCATGTTCAATTTTGTGTTGTTTTTGAAAGCACAGGGCAATTCTACGAGTATTCCTTGTACTATTTGATCTACTTTTAGAAAGCTTAAAACATTACGCATTTGATTTGACTTATATTCCGCTAGCTAGGCATTTCTATATGTATATTCCTTATAATATATGGTATGCTTTTAGAAAGCTTAAAACTTTCCGCATAATTTGATTTGACTTATATTCCGGTAGCTATAAAATTAATGGAGAAATCATTTACTACACCGTGACACGAGAGTCTAATGCCTTATGTCTATGCAGCAGTGGCGGCGGAACACGGGGGGGGCTAGGGGGGAGTAAAAGTGGGGGGCGGGCTTAGCCCCCCAAAATACATGAAGAATGCAAGACCATTTATACAAACTACGAAGTCGTCAAATTACTGCTCGCCGGCTAAAATGCAAAAGAAAATATCTACTTTGTTATCATGTGAATGTAAATTGATTTTCTTTCACCCTGAGCATATATCTTTTATCTATATAGTAAATACGACAAAGTCAGAATATTGGCCTTTGTGGTTATTTAGGAAATGGGACAAATAAAAGTTAAGTGAAGAAGTTTCAGGCTTTCCTAATGGGTGATTCCAGCTGTAGACGAAATTTTGATCAAAGCAAGAAGAACTAAATCCAACACCACAGCTATAGAAAGAGCGTCTTAGAATGAGTAAAATTGCAACGATTGGTTGCTAAATGTTTTGTAAAATGAAGAAATTATAGCCCTGTGAAGTTCGCAAATTTTGTAGTTCTATTACGAGCGGTAAAATAACCACTTTCGGCTCAAAAATGGTTATTTTTCCCGCGCGTAATGCAAATACAGCACATACAAAATTTGCGAACTTCACAGGGATATATTTTCCTCATTTGACAACAATTCGCAACCAAACTTTGCACTGATTTTCACTCATTTTAAGATGTTCTTTCCAGCTATGGTAATGGATTTAATTCTTCTTGTCTTGATCAAAATTTCGTCTGTACCTGGAATCATCCATTTATTCTAACCCACGATTTCGAATAGAACATAGAATAAGAACTTCTGATGCAAGCATTGCATTATCTTGTGTTTGTGCTCTTTGTGTCAAAGCGAGAGTATGGACTATGGAATACATTTGTATTTCTAGTTTGGTTAACATTTTTAAATCATTAAAATGCTTAATATTATGTTTTATGTCCAGTCAGACAAAATTTAACACTGCTGATGTGCTGATTGTGCATCTTTTATCACGGTATTTCCATTTCTAGTCCGACTGTGAGACCATTGTGGGCCCAACCCGGCCGGAAATACAATTTTAAAACGTCAAAACAATGCAGTTTGTGCTGGAAATACCGGAAATCGATTCCAAAGGTCAAAGTTGAAAGACTAGTTTACTCTCAAGGTAGTGAATGCTGCCTTAGTATGGCATTGTCCCAAAATCTTTAATATTTTAAAGAACAAGAATAAGAAATATTTGTAATGAATAGACAAATCCCATTATAGACTAATTTAAAACTAGGCTAGGAGTTGCAAATAAATCACCAAAGTTAGAAAGAGCATACTAAAATTAGTAAAATTACAAAGTTTGGTTGCGAAATGTTGTAAAAGGCGGAAAATACAGCCTTGCAAAGTTCCCAAATTTTGTATACTTTTGTATTGCGTGCGGAAATTCCTACCACATTTGGGCCGAAAATGGTATGTACAGTACATGTAGTCGTTCAATGGTAATTGTCACCAATTAATAATTCTTTATTTTAACCAATTTAATTTTTGTCAAATCTACCATACATATATTGGTTGTTTCTACCAATCGTATATTCGTCGTTTCTGCTGATTATTAATTGGTTCGTCTAACCAATTCTATTTATGCCAATTCTACCCATAATAAATTGGTTGAATGTACCAATGGAATATTGGTCGTTTTAAACAATTAAACACTCGTTATTGCTACCTATTTTTAAATGGTTATTTCAATCAAATATATATAGTTCAACTATAAATTGGTTGTATCTACCAATTACTTGTAACTGCTAATTCAACCAATTGTAAATTGTACCACTCGTGGATCTGAAGTAACCAATTTTTTTACTTAAAATGTTCAATTTTAAACGTTTTAAACTGGTTGAAATAACGAATTGGTTAAAATAACCAATTAAACCGAAAATTAATAAACATCTTTAAGGGTACAGCTTCGTACACTTTTCCACAATGTACATGTTGGTATTAATTTGTACGCTTATTTTCATTGTATTTTCCACCATGTTGCAAAAATATTCTGCAGCAATAGTTATTTTATGCATATATAATTATATGCTTAAAGAATCTGTGCCATATACTTAGCTGGCTCTCACCACATGCTAACATTCAAATTAAACGCCCTGTCGTACAACATGTATCCGGTCGACTGGCGGTGACCTGAATGTAACTGCGTACTGTGTGCCAGACATCCAATGTTGGACCAGGCAAAAGTCTTAACAAGACGCGACATACAAGAGTACTGCGGGTTGAATGCGCACCAGTGCTGGAACAAGAATACTGCAGCTCACTGGAGGGATCAA